AAAAAAAAACCAACAACAACAACAACAACAACAACTCAATTTTAAAACCTGGGCGCTCGGTTATTTCTCCTCAGTAGGAGGGGAGCAGACTGTGGTACGTCGGGGACGGAATGACCGTCATCATGACTTAAACCACCAGTACTTGGCCCAGCTATCGGCCACGGCGCTTTCCCGTTAACGCGCCGCGCCTTTAGGGCTTCGGGGTACCGGACCACAATGGCTGGATGCGCCAGCCAAAAAAATTTCAAAACGGTACCCCGGCGAAAATTGGCGCGCAGGGGCATTCCAGGCTCGGCATCGATAGCTGGGCCAGGTACTGGTGGTTTAAGGAGCACATGCTCCACTGCGGCTCCCGTGTTAGGGGCGGTCTGAGTTGATCAGTCAGGTAACTGGACACGTCTAATGGCGGGCTGTCGGGAGGGAGTAGTTGAATTTTAGGCAAGGGAACCCCCATACTACCCCTATAGACAAAGCACATTCTTTTTTTTCTTTGTTGGAATATAAAACCAGCCACGGGCTACGAGAGGACACGAACGATCACCTCCCTCAAGTACGACGGACGCGGGCTGCTCCTATCTATTGCTGGGGAGCCGCCCCTGCTGGAAACCGCCGGGTCCAGCACCCCCGTAACCCCATTACACCGCTGAGCCCAGCATTGTCCATTTTTTATCACCGGGGCCATAGCCAAAGGACCTGGTGGGGGTGGCTTACCTTTTTTTGTTGGGGGGGAAGGGTTGCTTACCTGGAGCCACAATTGGCGAAGACTTGGGAGCTCGCAGAGAGACGAAGGAACGCGGTTCAAGTAATTGCCATGCAGTGCAAGCGTCCTCAAAGACGTCAGCCCACCAATCTCTGCAATGAAATGGGTCACACGCCACACACGATCACTCAGCGATCATTCAGAGTATACTCACACAGAAGTCGCACTCGCACTTTCGTAAATGCATCTGCCAGTGACTGCAAATCGACTGCAATGACATCCACACCTGAATGGATCTGACCGCAATTGCGTCCACAGCTAAGTCGACTTGATGATTTTATAAACCGTAAGTTTCAAAAATAGCGCGTTAGCAGTGGTTTCACAGCAAACATAGTGATGGGCCCCAAGTTTCGTTGCAAAAAATACATCTTTCGTTGTAGCTTTAGAGGTACCGGTAGTTTCACAGCAAAAATATTTGCGGGCGCCGGGCGGGGTCCCACTTTCGCGCAAAAAATACATCTTTCGGACCACCATCGACTACATTTCCACTGGGAAACTTCGAAAAACGCGCTATTTCTGCAATTACCCCTTTTGATAAATGAAACTTACAGATACACGATGTGCAAATTACGAGTCTTACGTTATTTTTTTATAATGAATGAAACTTATACCGTTATTGGTAGTATTACGTACACGTCCAACTTAATTTATTTTATAGATCAAATCATCAAACTTATATTATGTGGTTTTGTCCAACCTTCACTCAGTGACACTCCATTTCTTTTCATTTTACATCTTTGCTTTTTACTTTTTTCGAGTTTTTTGTTATCTTTGGTGTTGACTTTGACTTTTGGCCCATGAGCAGCATTGACTATCCCCCATAAGCCAGACCCCCCACCACCACCGCCACACACACACACACACACACACACACACACACACACACACACACACACACA